CGATGGGCTTCTGCAGGAGCCCGAAAGCTCAGGCTAATAAAAAAAATAATTATTATTCCAGCGTTCGATGATTCTTCTTCTCAAAATAATATAAAATAATACTTGCGATACAGAGGAGAATCGTTTAAGTTCTTTTGAAGTACGTGGAGACTGGGGTTCCGTGAATAAGTAAGAGCTTTTAATAAGCCAGCAACTTTCCAAAGACGTACTAATAAAGTATTAATTCCCATTTACAGGATCACCCATGTAGTTCACCATCACTATCCCGGAGAAGAAAGCTGCAAGTTTATATCTGATGACTGGAAACTCGTAGGCAGGTGCAAACTAGCACACTTTTGTGAACAATACACACACAGCACAATGAATGATCTGCCTATCAAAAAACGGCACTTCTGGTTAAGGACAAGTTTCGAGAGTTGTGCACACGAACTGCCGCGCATATTTATACACACACAGAGCCGTTGAACTATTATTTAGAATAACGTTTGCGTTAATGCTAAGAGCCATGCAAAATGTGAAACGAACAAGGGCGGAAATCACGGAATACGACCAGACCTTGTCAACTCGACCCAGGCTACGTATTTGCCAGTCAGGAGCCGCATTCAAGGTGATGATGCGGGCATACAGAGACTCGAGTTTTAGGGCGTTTTCATTTTTTTGCGAGTGGAATATACGAAAATGGGAAAACCGACAACACAGGGCTATTGTGTCAAATACCTGGGATGGCGAATATTCCCGTGTCTAACAGTAACTCTAAACCGAGCTAATCCTATTCTCTAAGCCAAAACGAGCCTTCCTACATACCCCATGTCGAGTTTGGGGGTGGAAAAAGAAACGGATCAGACGCAAAAACAAAGCAAACCAACGGAGAAAAAAGGAGGTATCGGATGTATGGCGATTCGCGAAAGGGGACTAAAATGCACACGAGTAAAAAAAGCCCTTCCATCCTCCCACACTCTGTTAAAACAAACGAAGGAGAGGGTAATTGCCAGGACGGCTCGTTACGTACAAAAACGGCAGCATTCACAAAGCATCGACACGGTAAACCTAAGCAACAGAAAGCCGTGAAAATATGCGCCTCCATGGCAGTGGGTTTTATTTAGTGTGCGCATATAACAAGCAAATGCCGTTAACTGACCCAAACGGAGGGTTGGAGTTGCAGTTGTTGGACCAGTTCCTGTTGGTGCTTCAGCACGCTGGCAAAGGTGGCTGCAATGTTTTTGGTGTTGACAATCCACTGCAAACAGGTTGCGGACTCGGGACAGGAGACCTGACGCAGGGCTTCTCTTCGAACAGCCACGGTTGTAAGGACCTGACAGATCCAGTCCTGTGCGAGCAGGCGAAGAGCCTAAAACAAGAGAAATCCGCAAGTAAGACTAACGTTCAAGAGTGTTGGGGTGCCTCGGAATAAAAGCAAAATCCTGTGCGACAACCATCGGTGATCG